GGTGTATATTCCAGCTAGCTGGGACAAGGCTTGCAGAGAGTTAGTTCCTCCATCCAACCATGGTTAGCTTGAAAATTACAGTAGTTCTCTTCTTGTGCACTACCTGAATCTTTTAGACAGAGGCCAGACAATAAGGGAATTTGTATTGTGTAGTTGATGGCATACAGAATTACTAGGAGTGATAATGGTGTACTATTCAGTGGGTGCACTCAACTCCATGGACTTACCAAGAAAATCATCACAAGGCGAGACCTCAAATATAAAAGAATGAAGTGCTGTCCATATATTGAAATATTTTTTAAACACTCATATGCTAGACTTTTAGAGGAAGAAATGCATAGATATGTAAAATGACACAGAGAATTCAGGAAGATAGTAACATGTTGCATGGATGGAAAATTGAATACAATTTTTGAAGAAAGAAAGCTTAGTAAGTATATTAAGAATCCGAGTAAACATCACCATAGTGCCTTAAGTGGATAAACAGGCTTAGCAAGAATGGTATGCTTTGGTATAGATCTGATATGGGGGAGGCTTGCACATGTGTTGAGAGTTTTTTGAGAAAGGCAGTACTGAAATAGTTCATCATCACGATTGTCAGTGCTGCACTTGTTTTCTGAAGTACGGCCAGAGAACGTGATACACGATGTAAATATTTGCATATATTATGTAAGGTAAATTTGCAATGATATGGATTATTCAGGAAAGATAATTCTAATTGCCTTCCTTTTAAAATTCATCATTTTCTGAATCCCAGATTTTGGAATTTAGCATTATTTTTTCAGTGAAAAATGCTGTATGTTACCAATTAATTGCCATGGTCCTGTGTGAGCCAGCAGACTCTTGTCTCTTCACAGAGCCCCACCGTGTTGTTCAAGCTCCATGTGTGGGCTTTAAACCTCTCGGCTGTCTTTGAAGTAGACATTCTTCTTCATCTGTTTTACATGTGGGAAACTGTTATGTAGGCTGATAATCTGTCTTTGCTCTCTGAAAATTCAGTAAATAATGTCAGAGACTTGAGAAGCATTCCACATTGTACTTTTTTTAGCTCTAGAGTATGTTTCGTCTAAGGTAGTCTATTAATATCAAATACAAATTGCATTAGAGACAAAGCTTAGAAAAATAATTGTCAATCCCAACTGTAGCTGTGAATTTCTTATCGACATTGTCCTTATAGCTCAGTTGCGTTATTTCTGTTTTGCCTTTGAGTCTTGTTGACAGACCAGTCATTCACCTTCATCCTCCTGCTCCTTCATGAAGTACAGTACCACTGCACTGAAAAGTGGTGCAGACTTTTGCACCCTGAGGTGTTAAGAAAAAGATACTTTATTCCCTTTTTATGTTGGATTATTTTCTGGTTTTTGGACTTTGCCATATTTTATGACACAGGAACAGTGTTTGTGATGTGGGTGTCTTTTTGCTGTGATGTTTAGCCGTCCTTGAAAGCTGTTTACTGCTTCATGTGAATCCTTGTCATGAACACTCTCTCTTAAATAACTTGGCATCTTGACAACTTATTTAAAACCACAAGTCGATATTAGCTGTTTGCTTCTTTTAAGTTTTTTTGCTATATTCAGAGACACACTTTTTCTATAGTAGAAGTAAAAATGGTAAAACTTATATAGCACCCACTGTTTTTATTTTTTGATTGTAATCCTTGGATGATGCACCATGAGCTAGCTGGAAATTTGATATTTATTGACTTTGCCATCTAAGAGAAAAAAAAAAAAGAAAATAGGTAAAAACAAAAATAGTAATTGGAAATAGCTCCTGTGGAGCAAAGCTGTCATGAAGCAGATTGATTCAGCAGTGGCAAAGTTGCTTTATTGATTGTAAGTCCTTAGTAAATTAAAAAGAGGAGCAAATGCGTTAATCTTCTGTGTGCATGTGTGTTTGACAGTGACAATTGAGAATGGTTTGCCAGAATAAAGACACAGAGGAGTGTGGGAATGTTATCTACTTCAGTCAGTAACAGGCTTGCCAGAGATAAAAACAGAGTTCTTCAGAAATCCTTCTGGGTTAAATATTCTTTACTGTGCTATAAACAAAGGATAGAAGAAGTACTCCTGCTTGGTTTTTTTATGCATTCAGGTACAATTAATCTAGATAAAGGAATGAAGTATAGGAATTATATTAATTTTTTTCAGATGTTCCTTAAATTTTATTCTCTGTCTCAATTGCAATGTCAAATTTGTTGTTAATAGATCAGTGCAAAACCTTAATATATTCTAGCTGAGGCCTCAGTCTCCTTCATAAGCAAAAGTCAGTTTTGGATTTGGATTTTTGGCTTTTTTAATTACTGCTAATTACTTGATCTCATTGCCCATTTACAAGTAAAGTAATCCTTTATTTATATTTTCCTTCCCAAATCATCCCAGCTTCTCATAAGGATGAAATTCAGTTAGATGGGGAGCAGCTACACAAAGTGAGATTATAATATAGAAGCTTTCCCTTCCTAGAAAAGTAGGAAGCAAGAACAGAGCTGGGATTCTGTTCTGGTGAGAACTAGATGTTACCAAGATAAATTCTTGCTTTTCAGCCTCAAATTCTTTACCGTCGTAAATTTTGTTTCATGTATTTCTTCTTGGATTAGTGTAGCTGAAATTCAGTCAGGAGAACATGCTCTTCTCTATTTTCCTCCCACTGCTGTCTGAAAATCCAGTTGCCAGGCATAGTTTTGTGGTCTCTCAACTCCCAACATGTCACCTGCCTATATACCACTCTGAACCTCTGCACATTTGTTTAGAGGCCAGGGTTTGAGGAGCATCTCCTGTGAAGAGACTCTGGGGCCACACAGATGGTCGGCAAAAAGGAGTTGGAGATCAATGTGGTAAAACATCAGAGAAGGCAGGGATCTGGATATACTGTTGTTTCCCACTACTTCATATGGAGTCACCAGCCTGGCATGCAGAAGTGAAAGGGAACAAGGTCCTCTTTTGGGCCCTGGAGAGAGATGGGAAATGGAACTGCAGGGGACCCATTAGAGGTCTCCTCATTTATTCATGGATAAAGTGTCGTTCTTTAATATCATCTGGAAGAACAGAGCTTTGTAATTAGTAGTAACTCAGAAAGAGGACCAGTGGGGTAATGTGATTCCTTCTAGGAAGGAATCTGGACATTCTTGTGTTCAGTTTATCATGCCATAATGCTGAAGAACCCGGACTCTGTCTTGCCCCCTCACAGCTGTCCCCAGCAGCAGTGAGCCAGAGAGGCAAAAGACAGACTGAGGCATCATCTCACCTATTTCATCCTACCACTTCACTCCCCATTTCTTTTCTTTTCATGCTTTTTCTTTCCTTACTTGCTGATCCTGATTAGTTAACATGTGATTTATTTGCCTTGCCAGATAGCTGCATCTTTTTACAGAGACTTGCTGCTTCTTGTGCTTTACAGAATAGCATCCCCATCAGTTTTGTAAAGCCCACTGTATTTTCTCCTTCCTCACCCCGTGCTTCTTTGAGGTTTCCTAGAAGAAACAGTGAAGTCCAAGGGAAGGAGTACAGTATAGCCAGTGGCTGCCATTCATCTATTTGTGTAACTATTGAAATGTTCCATGATCATTAATCAGAGCTTTTAGTTATGCTTTTTTACTCTTTCCCAATATCCCTCTACCCCTTTCACCTCCTCTTTTTGTCACCCTTGTCACTTCTTGCTGTAAATATAGATAGCCCAACAGGAGAAGCTGTGTCACTATCTGAGTGGTAGTACAGCATAAATAATTTTTTTCCTAAAAATGTAAATGCCATTGTGCTTTGCTTCAGTGAGCACAACATTAAATACTAATTGTTGTTAGTGGCAATTTGTAGTGTTTAAGAGTCTTGCTTACTCAGTCTCTGTCATGCTGAGTTTTTGTGCTGAATTACTGATTGTTACACCACTTTTTTCTTTGTTAAACGCATCTGTACACAGAAGAGCTGCCTAATTTGTTTCAATCTGGCATACTGGAGTAAGTCTGCTTTTAAATTGCATACTTAGTAGGTTACAAATCAGATGGCAACATTTTCATGGTGCTAATTCTCCGGTGTACCAGGAACTGCTGACTTGAATAGGTTTTGACCACTTTTCTTTTTCAGTAAGTCTTCTGTAACTCATTTGGCTTGCTTAAATGACCTGCTCCTTATTTTCCACAGCAAGAGTTTCTCTCATTTGGGAAATGTAAAAGGATAACATTCCTAGCCCAAGCAGAAGCAAAATGTACCACTGCCATCTGGGCTGTGAAATTGGAATAAAGCTGAAAGCATTACCTCAGTATATTGCTGTGGCTGGAAGCCAGATGGCAGATAATAAAAGGATGGTCTGGTAGTTGGCATGTTAGTCAGGATCTTAGGATGTACTTGTGTGCTTCAAATCTCCAAGAAAGTTGGCGGTTTGGAAATTATTTCTCTCACCTAATACTGCTTATGTGAATGTTATGTATCTACTGAGCTAATTGTCTCAGCTCCACTGTGGATGGATAAGCAATTCCAGAGGGCATAGGGTCCTTCCACATCACTTAGCTCTACATTTTACATTAGGATGAGTAACTCTCTGGAGAAACTTGTTTCTCTGCCTAGACATCACAAAAGGACAGTAGCTGATGGCCTTAGTCCAGGTACATAACTTTCAGATGCTTGAGATCCAGCAAATGAGCCCTCTCTTCCTCTCAGGCAGCTGCCTTTAGTTGAGGGCTGGCAGTCCTTTCCCGCCTCACAGCTACACACAAGATTGAACAGTGCTACTGTTCTTACAAAGTATTTATTGTGAAAAGAAATTTATAAGTAGTTTTAATTATCTCTATATACATATATTTGTGACTGCCTGAGATTTGAACATAGTGCTGAAGGGGAGGGAGCATTAGGACATTAGGAGACCTGGAGACTTTTGCATCCCTAGGAAATATGTAGCTGCTTCGTAGCAGTATTCAGTTGAACGCGTTAGAGAGACAAAGCTAGGACTTGAGAATACCTGGCTTGCATATGAAGCTCTGTAAAGTCATGCTCATTCATGTTGTTTCTTTGTAGATAGTGATGGATTTCAGACACCCTGATGGCCATACAGTAGCAATTATGCTGCCCCGATGCAGTTTATTGGTGATGACTGGAGAATCCAGATACCTGTGGACACATGGGTATGTGTAAGAGTCCCTGCATTGCTATCATAGAGGAATAATAAATGTTGTTTGTTTGCTTCTTTAATGACAATCCTGTGTTTAAAATTGCCTAAAAGAAATCAAATCAAGTTTTATAATGAAAAAAATTATTAATTCAAATTTATATTATTATAAATATAAATATAAATTCAGAGAAAATTCACACTGCTGCTCAGATGCTGCTTAGGTTAAATGGAAAAACTTGGGGATTTAGGAAGCTAATTGCCAGTCCCTGAGGTGTAGTTCCCTGCTGCTGTCACAAGTGAAGTTTCAGTCAGAAATCGCTCTCACATCTGCAGTGTGGAAGTTCTCAATGACTGAGCTGGCAAAGAATTGATTGTAGTGCAATTAGTGTCACCATTCCCTTTCTCTCTTTTCAGCCCACATCTTTTCCCATTGGATCACATATGCCAAAGGCTTGAGAGAAAGGCTAGTTTAAGAGATTGACTTCCCCTGCACTGAGAGCCTGAGGGTGGCAGAGGGGAGTCTTCCTGAGCTGTTCCCAGCTGCTTTAGGGACACTTTAGCTGCTGGTAAGACTGCATTGAGCAGTTTTGGGACGCTGCAAAGAGATTTCTTTAAATATGTCTTGGGGCTTTGCTTATTGTAGAATTTAAATACATGCTTTTTAAATTGTGCACCACTGGGAGATACTTACAATTGGAGTGCTGAAATTGGCAAAAAGGCTAAAACCTTGGTGAGCTCTGAGTGTGACAGTAATACATTTCAGGAACATATGGCAACCCTGTATTGGACAGAAATGCCCATAGTAAGCATTTCTTCCTTTGTTTGACCCAAGCCATCACTGGTTCAGCAGTCAGTTGGAGACACTAATTACATTCTGTGTAAATTAAAAACCAAATCCTTTACTGGCAGAAAATTTTCTGCCTTTTAATTTTGCTGGTTAATATGTATTATGAAAACAGGGTGACTATAAACTCCCTGACAACCTTTACATTGTTAATTTTATAGAGTTCTTATGCCACCTGTATATTCCCTTGTTCAACTAAATAGCTGTAAAAAGCACTTGGTACTTCTGCTGTGCATCAATTATAGATGCCCAGGGCAGTGAACTCCCTTGTTGTTTGATATACAGGACTCAGTACAGATACCAGCATTGTAAGCTTCTTACGCTGTTCTGTCAAATACCATCAGTTGTCTTTTGGAAAGGTCCTGTACAGCTCTGAGAACACAGTGCAGTTTCCATGTCAGTGACATTGCTGGGAAGCTGGTGAGCAGTTCCCAACCCCAGGCATCAGGCAGCTCCACGGGCTGTGCTGAAGCCAGATTGGAACACCAGCCCAGGGTCAAGGTGGGGGCTGTGCACAGACAGAGCTGGGGATGCATCTGAGGCTGTAACTGAAACAAGGGGCACTGGGACAGCCTCCATTTAAAATTAGCTCCAAGGGGAAGAAGGGCTTCCCCTTTCTGAAGTCTCAGCTTTCTCCAGGGCTACCAGTTCTGCTCCTTCCAAGCCAGCCCTGGGCAGCCACGCTCCCAGGAGGCAGAAGGATGCATGCTGGGCACTTGCAGTACTGGCCAGTAGACATTGAAGGTGGAATAGTGTACCTGTCTGTTAAAACTTGGAATGAGATTATTACTTATCTCCCTTGTACCTTCAAGTTAGGGTTGTCTTTTGAGAACCAATGAATAAACTACATTGAAAATGAAGATCTTAGACCTTTCTACTGATGTACAAATGGTTCCTGTGCTGCTTCTTGTCCTCCTTTCCTAAATACAGTTTTTCTGTGTATTTTAAAAGCAGTAGTGCGTCAAAATAGTCAACTGGAGTAAGCTTTGCATCATGCCACTGGAATGTCATATTGTAACCAAAATTAAAATCATCTAGCAAGAAGTTGTAACTAATTCACTTGCATACATAATGTCAAAATGTGTTTAATAATATCTGTGGTGCCTTTTATCTACACCTCAGAAGTCAAATTATAAAAGCACAAGAGTCAGTTTTGAAATTAATCTGGAGATGTTTTCAGTGTGTACGCTTGGATACCAAGGAATTAGAGACTTTGTTTTGATCCCATTAACAAAGTGCACAGGGAAAGCATTTTTGTTCAGTTCTCTGGGAAAGAGAAACACATGGTTTAGAAATAAGCTATGCAATGTCATTGAGGAGGATGAAAGATGTATTCTCTTTTTGACTTGTTGGTGCAAGTAAAATTCTGCCTTTTCTGATGAAGTTCATTAGTGATGTATTTCATATTTGGTTGGATAACCTGGCAAAACTCCATTATTGGCACTGCAAGACTAAAACCACTCTGTGCCAAGCAAGAGGGTGTGCAGCATTTTATTTCTGACATTGGGAATTCAAATAATAATAGTAATGAAAGGAAGTGTGAGAGAGGAGCAAAACCCAAGAGAAAGAGAGACAAGTGATGTACAGTGCAGTTGTTCACCACCCACTGACTGATGCCCAGCCCTTCCCCCAGTTCCTACACTGGGCAGGATGCTCTGTGGTGTGGAGTATCCCTCTGGCCAGTTTGGGTCAGCTGTCCTGGCCATCCCAGCTTCTTGTGCCCTCCTCATTGGCAGAGCATGGGAAACTGAGAAGTCCTCACTTAGGGTAAGCACTACTGAGAAACAACTGCAACATCAGTGTGTTACCAACATTATTCTTGTATTAAATCCAAATCACAGCACTGCTGCTGTTAGCACAGATGCTTAGAATGAAAGTAACTCTATTCCAGCCAAAACCAGGACAAAAATAAATATATTAAAAATAAATATATAAAAAAGTACTAGGCAAATAAACAAACTTCATGGAAGAAAATGGAGGGAGGGAAGGGAAATGTAATTACATGCAATTAAACAACACTTTAATTCATGTCATTAGTTTGTGTCATCTCTTTTCTCTCTGAAATTGAATAACTTGAAATCTGAGATTCAGAAGTATGTTAAATAGAATGCTGTAATCACAGTTCTCTCAGAGTGTAAGGATTGCCTTCTTACAAAGACTGATTGGGTTTTTTCTGATGCAAAATGAATTATTCCTTTATTTTGTGTTGCTTTATTTTAGAATCACACCCCGAAAATATGATGTTATTCAAGCATCAGAACTTGGGCACAAAGTTAGAACAATCACTGCTGATGTTGGAGATTTAACATTAAATCGAAGGGAAACAAGGACGTCATTTACATTCAGGAAAGTGAGGAGAAGCCCTTGCAATTGCAGTAAGTGCCTTGAGGCAACCTTCAAGTCAAAATTGTCATTTATCACCAATAGGTAGATTTTTTTGTTTTGAACAAATAATTAGATTCCTTTGGGTAGCTTTGGCAGTCATCATAGCTATTCCTGGACGGTTCATAGCATACTGTATGGATTGAATTGGTTGCATTCATGTGGTTGCTGGAGTTTCTCTATACAGGAGGGCATTTGGCTTGCTCTAGAGCCAGGCAAGTAATCTGGAGTCTTTTGTTTCATTGGCATTTAAAGTGCTTAATAATGCAACAAAATAGAAATAACTACTATTCAAGTTTTTTCCTCAGTTTTGATTGTTTGTTTGCTGGTTTTTTTTGAGAGGGCCTGTAATTTTGAGAAAGTAGGTACATTAGCAAAGGAGAAGCAGTCATATCTGCTGTGACAGAGCCATGCAAAGTGCCTTGGGGCAGTAGAGATAATAATAGACAGGTGGCTCTATAATTACATGGAACTGAAGTCCATTTATGCCCTTAGAATAGAATTTCAGAGGCTGAATTGTAATGATGTGCTCTTTGGCATTGGGGGCACTATCTCAGTTTTGAGAACATAAACATCATTAACATGGCAGATTAATGATCACTACAAACAGCCTCTGGTACATGTGGGCTGGTTACTTATTTTCAGGTCATCAAACACTTCTGTAGTTTGACCTGCATTTCAGTTTTTAAAAGGTAAAAGAGGAATGAAGCATTTTTTGCATTTTAATATTTCACTTTTAATTTAATTTTACTAAGTAAGCTTAATCAATGAGGAATTGCTCAAAAAATTAATATTTTGTTTCTGTTGCTGTATCTAGTTTACCCATCTGTCTGTGACAGCCAGAAAGGACAGCAGAGACCAGCGCAACCTTCATTTCCCCAGGATGAGAGGGAGGCCTCAAAGCTGGAAGAAGAATATGTACACAAGGTGTATGAGGAGATTGCCACACACTTCAGCAGTACCAGGCATAGCCCATGGCCCCGAATCGTAGAGTTTCTCAGGTCCCTGCCAACAGGTTCAATAGTGGCTGATATTGGTTGTGGTAATGGGAAGTACCTTGGCATCAATGAGGATTTGTACATGGTAAGTAGTAGCTACTGTCATTTGGTTTTGCTGATTCTGGTGTTTATTCTGTTGTGCACTTGTAGCATGCTGGAGGTTCAGGTTGGCATTAGAAGAATGCTGAGAACAGAAAGCTATTTCCTGATCCAAGATCAATTACTAATTGTCTTAAGTTTCCACGTGTATTCATTACGTGCATTACCTTTTTCTTTTTTCCAAAGCCACTTCTACTTTTTAATTCAAAATACATTAAGAAAAATAGTAATGGGTGAAGCAGATTGGAAAATAGTAATGAATGGTTTAGCCTTTTTTGTCATTGTTGTTGAATAAATTTATTAAATGGTTAGGCAATTAGAAAGCTTGCAACAAAATTTTCATTTGTTTGGTGGGTGGGTGAAATCTCCATGGGAAACACTATTTTTCATGACCTCTTCAGTTCCCAGTGGCCTGGTGACACATCTCGTTTGTGAATGTTATCATGTTTGTCTGTCCCACCTCTGGCCCGGTGCACAGGCTCAGTAAATATGGCAACATAAAATTCACAGGGAGATCTCAATTTTAGTACAGATTTCTGGCCTTTCACTCCCTTTTCTTCACTTTTAGACAGTTTTGATGTAATTCCTGCTCATTTTCTCTCTTTTCACTTTCACACAGTCTGTACTTGATCTGGTTTTTTACTTCTCTCCCTTTTTATCAGGGAGAGATGAAGTGTATGTGTGTGTGTGTATATATATACATATAGATAGATAGTGTATATATATATAGATGAAATATGAACCAAGAGATAGCTTTCATTGCAAATTTTAAAAGACCTTTTTTTGGGAAATAAAAGAGTCAAAAGAAATCTTAGAGAAGTGTGTGTTATGGTATCTGCTCTCTCCTGTTCCAGGATTGTCTGATTCTTTCACCTGTTTGTCCTGTGAAACACTCTGAAATGCATCAGACTTGAAAACTTCTGTGTAGGGCAAAGCATTAATTATTGATAATAAAACTTGGAGTTGTTTGTCTGTTTCAGGAGTTTCTGTTCTGTTACTTAAATTCAGCTAAAAATGATAAGTTGTTATTTATAATGCTGTTTGTGTTAGTAAAATTATCTTCCTTATTGTTGTTATAGGCTCGATCAACATCAACCAATTAATAAGTAGGCATCTTCATGCCTGACCACTGTTGCCTAATTATTAATTTCAGTATATTTCAGTGCTTTAGTCTTTCAGTCCTGACTCCTACAAGAAAAATCAAACCTAACTAGAGAGGAGAAACATTTATCAGGGTATCATGAAGGTCAGCTGGTCCTAGAATGGATATGGTAAATTGCAGTTGTGGAAGTTTGTGGTAGACTTTCAAAGTGAAATTAATGCAAGATCCTGTGTTCAGAAATTTCCAGCACCAGCCTGTTTTCTGGAGCCCACAGTTAACCAGCTAAGGAAAGGAATGATCTTACATTGGCTGGCAGTCAAAGGAAAGCCAGCTCCTCTCCTCTGTTGCTTTAGGGGTTACCTAATTTCATAGGTATCTGCAGGAGAAATAAAAAACATGAAAAATAACAGTGAAAGGGAGGAAACTATTAAAGAAGCAGTTGAAACAGTTGAAAAACAAAATCTGGGAATTGCTTCATTCAGTTGGCCTCCCTTGACATTTTATTTTCCACTGATGATGACTAGTGGTTCTTAGATGGAGATAGACTCTAGACTTTGCATTTGGTTGTTTTCATCTACAAGTCAACACAGAGCCTCAGGAGGATGGATTTGACTCCTTTTTTCTACCAGATTTATTTTTCTGTAGCAGCCAAAGTGTGGTTAAAGAAAACCCTGTGTATATTGTGTTTACAGGTGTTTTTAAACATTTGACAAGGTAGAAGTGCTGTTAATTCCATCTGCCATGGTTTAGTCATGGAACTGAGGGTGAGGAATTACAGAATGTTTTATGTATTAGGTGCATTCTTGGGCTAAAGGGAGTGCTCTCTAGATGCAGGACATCACTTTTCTCCCTCATTTATTCCTCTTTAGTTGGAGGCATAAAATCCAGGCATAAACTTAGTAAATTCTACGTCTCTTTTTTCTCTCCAGTGTAATGGAGCCCTTAACCCACGTCCTGTTGGGAAAGTAGCACTAAAGCAGTGCTGTGAAATTAGGAGTTGTGTAGGGATTGGGTAAAGCACTGTTGGCACAGCTCTGTAGCTTGGGGTGTTTTGACTCAGAAGTACTGAAAACCTGAGGCAAGCATTTCCTGAAGGCAAGCAATATGCTTTACAGGTCGCTGTGCACTTTTATGCTTTAAATAACAATGCTAATGGTAGATGACTGGTAAGGTACATCGAGGTCTTGATGGTTTTAATCTTCAGGTACTGTCTGAAAATGTCTCCACTGTGCTTCAGTTTCTCTGGATGATTACATGCGGTCTCAGCTACTTGGGTATCCTGTGTGACAACAAAATGCACGAGTCCATCTGTACTCAGCAGTGCTGTCATGGCTGCATTGTTCTGACACACTGAGAGAGCAGCAATTCCATGGCAAACAAATTCAGATTAAGGAAATGGAATCCACGTCTGATGCAGCTAGCATAAAGGCTGGAGAAAGGTTGAATTTAACAGAGTTTCAGATCACATTTTCTACCTTGCCCACCTTGTTACTGTTTAAATGAATGCAAGAAAGAGACACTGTTTTAGTGTTGTTTTTCACAATTCTCTCACCACCCAATCTCATTTGGGGGAAGTATTTTAACAGATTTTATTTAGGTGCTTTCAAGCTTAATATTCATATCTGTAAGCAGAGCTTTTATTTTTATGGAACAACGTGTTTCAGCCTTAGCCATTCCCCCGATTACCACAAGGGTTTCATTGATGTTATTGCAATGATCTCATTAACTTCTATGCACTTCTGCTTTGTCTCCTTGTTCCCAGCGTTCAGGTAGGTGTGGTGATGTATAAGTCTCTGCAGGAATGTTCAGAATCCTCACAGAGCTACAGCATGAATGAAAAGTCATCGACATCTTTCAAATTTGTGGTTTACATTTTTAATTGAACTGATAAATTGGTGGGAAATTCAGTGGCAAATAACTGAAACTGCCATAGGATAGATACGTTTTCTTTTTGTATAAAGAAATTACTCTACTTGGCAGAGTGCTGATGATAGCAAAAAAAAATGTGGCAACAGAGGAGTCAAAATGATTTGCTTTAATACAGACTTTTGTATTCCTCTTGTGTGTGTCATTCAGGGGTAACTGGTAGCACAGTTTATATTTCACAAGTCTTTGTAAGACCCGCTTTTGCTCTGAGATTTGCACCTCTGTTTTCTGCATTACTGTCCCAAACTGTGATCTACTAGAATTATATAAAATTTTGATTTTTCCCCAGTGTGTGGGGAGGAGAGTGAATGTTTACTGTGGTATGGTTGCTTAAATTTGGGTGGGTTTTAGTTGCACTGGGTTTGTATGGATTGGGAATAGATTCCCCTCCCAAGGACTTTTTAGTAATGGGTAAAATAGGAGGGACAAAACCAATTAGTAAAGGTACACCTGGAATGAGTTCACCCTGTCTTAGCAACTGAAGGGTGAGACAGATGAACCTTTCCTGCCCTTTTCTCTCTCTTATTCCTAGTGAGTAGGAGTCATTAAATGGGTGAGAGATCTGCAAAGAGAGCTCAGAAGGAACTGGGCAAGAGCAGCACAAAACTAGAATGAAAGCTGAATTGCTCAACTTGGTCCTCTTTCTTTGTCACTGAGAAATGAACTCCAGGTCCTAGGCATAGCACTTTGCTTTCACAGATACTCTGACTATATGTAATGCAAACCAAAACACTGCATGAAAGGAATGCCGAAAGCCTGACTTGGATGAATTGTTTGCTGGAATGTAATTTGGTTTCTTGAGCTTCTCATGCTGTTAGTTATAGCTGAGGCATTTCTCTGGAGAGCGACGTAATTCCATTCAGTGGTTGGATTTCAGAATTAGATGTGGTTTTGTTCATCACTTCGTAATGTGCTGAATAAATCAGGTTCCCAGATACTTAAATGAACTAAGTCTACCAGGCTGAGTTAGTTATAATGAGATAATGTAGAAAGAAAACACATAGTTGTGGGTAACCTCAATCTGTCTTTACCTATCTTTTTTTCAGTGTGCAAGAGGGTTTATCTTTTGTAGATTTGCAGCATTATTACAAAGCAAGCTATTTATTAGTGTCTTTTGCCCCCTAATTATCTATACCAAACCACTGCTTTAAATAGATTTTATAAAATCTGCTTTAGCTACTCCTTGGTGTAAAGGTGGAAGTGAAGGTGCATGGGAACATGAAGGAGCAGAATAACTGCCTATGTTATCCATTTCCAGGAAGCCAGTATAGAGCTGCTGCAAACTGACAAGTCACAGGTGCTATATTTGTTTCTCCCTCCCTTCTCCTCTTTTATCTTGGCCTTTTTCTAAATTTTTTTTTTGAGACGTTGATTGTCTAAAGGTTTGCATTATCCAGTGTGGTATGCCAGAATGATGACATACCTTTGCCCCTTTCCTGAGTTTTGTGTTTGTTGGGGTTCTAGTTAGAGTTACAGGCCTCCATACTAATACAAATTTCCTGTCTTAAAGTAAGAGCTGGATGCAGTTAATATTTATCCTTATACACTGAAAATCAGTGCCTGAAATCCAAGTGGATTTCAGTCGCAGTACCTGTCAGTGGCCACTCTTGAGCTCCTGTGAGCCATTGTTTACATCACAAAAGGTGGTGAAGAGACGGGTGGAGGTACTTTCCAAAAAGGCAGGGATGTGGGAAAGGATGTCTGGAGCAAAATCTGAGAAGCCTGAGAAGCCAGCCTCCTTTATGGGAAAAGTGTGGAGCAACTTGCTGAGAGGTGGACTTGCTGGGGTAGGCGCAAGTGAACTATCAGCCATGCTATTTGAGATATATATGAGAAATTGTGGAGTCTGAGCAAGGAATTTTATTCGGAAAGCTAAGGTATAAGAAATGGTTGAGAAGAATCATAGATAATAAGAAATAGAAAGCCTAAAAACATACACATACAGCTTGACTCACCAAGAAATGTACTAGATTCTTTTGGGTTTAGACACCAGACTAAAAGTATTTATCTGCCTTTCTCCACTCTTCTAGAAGAGATGTCAGCAAAGACAATAAATATCCTGTCCTGAGCAGCAAAAATAGAGATATGAACTGGCAAAAATGAAAGCTTTTCAGCTATATTTTGAGATTTGTTTTAAATGTTTTGATTATATATTTAATTACAGAGAGAGAAACATGTTCTCAATTAAAACAGTCCTTTCATCACATCAAAACTACTTCTGCATGCTTTAGAATTTAAAAATCAGTTAGTAATGGAATTGGGAGAAGTTGAGTTTGGGATCTCTGCCCCTTACTGTAAATGTTTTCTGTACTCATAAAAACCACAGATAGGCTAATTTTCCAGCTGTAAGCTGCTGTTACACCATTAAACTTACCTGCTTTTTGCTATCTTATTGTTTTCTAAGTGACTGAAATGAATGTATTTTGGTTTTCAATGAATGTATGTCTCTTGCAAGTTAGAAAATGCAGGAATGTGGTGATTATAATTATTTTGAAATATCACCTAGCGATAATTCTAGTAAGGATGCTAAAGTTGCCTAGCTTCAGCACCAGGCATCTGTGGTGACTCCCTGTGTTCACCATTTATGCATATATGCATAGCACCTATTGTCATGTTTACATTTAAAACCACAAAAAGTTTTAGCCTAATATACCTATTTTAGAGCAGCTGTGTGTTTCTGTGTGTTCTGTTTCAAGATCTCCATTTTCACTGTGAAACTGTCTTTTTGCTTTGGATGTACATTTGCTTTAGAAAGTATGTCAATACAGGTAAACCTGACTTCATAATATTTGATATAATTCAGATGCAAATGAGGACTTTGCAATCTGGCACTCATGCCTTTGTTCTCATTCCCAGTTCACTAGATTTCATCAATGTATGTTGTAGTCTTTTCCAAGGTCATTCTGGGAACAGGGGATTGTGTTCCATTATCCAGCCCATCTTCACTCTAGATGTGGAGGGCCAAAATAATTCTTTCTGGGAAAGCATACCGTCAGTGGAAGCTGCAAGTGTTCTTCTTCCTCCTTCTGCCAGCAGTGAATTTGGTCCTTTGAGTTCTGTTATTAAGTACTGCAAGCCAATGTCTCAATTGCAGAAGTAGTTAAAGATACTGGTAATGAGGTGTGCAATCACTAACATGCAGGTTGTCAGAGTAATTTAAAGACACTTCAGTTGGCTGCCAGTGTAAAATGATGGGGATTTGTTTGCATTCAAGTAAACAAGTGTTTCCTTTTTTTATTCATAAACAACACAATTCACTCAGTGCTTTAGTAAATGTGAGAGACCAAGGAATGAATGTGAAGAAAGCAATTAACCAAGTTAGGGGGATTGATCTTTTCAGGTCTGTTTCTTGCTAATTGGCAGGATAACATGTACATATTCATAGTTTTTGTGGAGGATTATCCTGTATTGTCAGGTTGGCATTTTCACAGCTGTTTCATTTACTTTCGATCAAAAGTCAGGGACCTGAGCAGAAGACAGCTCACTGGTAGTTTTAATTTTAGTGGTACCGTTGTCTCTTCTCAGTTGATTAAGCAGGGCCAGTTATTTGCTATTCTTCTTGCATCAGAGACGGTTTAGCATTCTTTCCATGTCAAATTCAATAAACACTGTCAACAGTAATTATTTAGGATTCTGAACCTGTTCTCTGCTATTTACTTGTTGCTGGTCATTGAAAACAAATAGATTTATTGTTCTCCTACATGCCAGGTTTGATATACAACCTGGTAGCAGGGTGGTGCATGCCTCACTGTTTCTTTCAGAAGGTGTCTTGGTCAATTTAGATTTATTGTTTTTATGCAAGCATGTAAAAAACACTACTAGATGCTGATTTTTCAAAGATGGTAGGTTTTGTTTTACTGCCTTTGATGTGGACTGGGCAGGTGTAGCAGGCTGACCACTGGGTTTAAAAGGGGAAAAATATTAATGTTTTATGAGATATTCTGAAAATGTCATAGAGTTCACTTCACTGAACTGTCCACATCCTTATGGAAAATTATGTTGAGCCTAAATTTTTTGTGGATTGTGATACTGAGGGGTAAGAGAAAAGCATCTGAGCACTTCCTCACACCGAAATGACAAAACCTGGGTGATGAGTGAAGCTGTATGCCTTACTTTAGTGATGCCACCAAAGTCACTGGATAATTGTTCACACTTGTAGATCAACTTTTGTGAGTTCAGTGTTTGGGTACTTCAAATGTTGTCAAGTTACAAATGGCAGTTGAAATGAAAAGAAAATACTCAGGTTAGGTCACCTCTCATTTTGCTCATTTCAAGACACCTTGAAAAAATTTTGAAGAAAAGTTAGGTTGAAACATGGTCTGTCTTAAGCTGGTTTAAAATCAGGGTGCTATAATGAGCTGTCTAATATCCGGTCTTTTATCTTTGTTTTAAGTCAGCATCAGGCTTGTTTTCTTTTTGTCTATACCTGGGAACTATATATTCTTCTTAAGGCTATTTTCTCACACTTGTTTTAATTTTAAACTGTGTTCCCTCAGTAGGAGATTGTGATGACTCTATTACTGTAAGCATCAAATGAAAGTCATATTCCAGTCTTGTAATTATCCTCTCATGAAAAGCTTAATGAAACATTTTCTCTTCTAGGTTGGCTGTGATCGCAGCAAAAACCTGGTGGATATTTGTGGAGAAAAACATTTCCAGGCATTTGCCTGTGATGCCCTGTCAGTGCCAATCCGCAGTGGCTCTTGTGATGCCTGCATCTCTATTGCTGTAATCCACCACTTCTCAACAGCAGTAAGTCAGCTCTCTCTCTGCTCCACTGTACTGCTGGATTGCTGTGCAGAGCTGCTAATACTACAATACAAGCGAAAACAAAATGGGAAGAAATCCAAGGTTTGCATTTGGTGTAAGCAGTTGTCAGAGCAGAGTTAAGCTGTTGTGCTACTGCTGCTTCTTAGACTTTCTCTTCAGATTCTCCTTCTGCTTCTCAGATGCCCTTGGTCCCCTGAAGCTTTGGTCCTATGTTTAGGTTTCATTTTTGTGTGCTTGTAATTAATGACACTGGAGAAGGGGCTGCTGATTTGGGAGTCAAGAAATATATTGTTTCCCGGCTCAGATCTTAAACTCTTGGGCAGATCTTGTGATTTTGGGTTTTTTAATCTGTGCATTGGTTGTCCATCTCCAAGAAAAAGGGAGACTACTCACCAGTTTGCTGTATCTCTGGGCTGAGCAAGGTTCTCCTGGCAGAAACTGTGCCATGGTAACAAGTTTCTAGATCATCTTAGAGGGGCCCCACAGATTTTTCCATACCAGAAATGCAGTGAATGTTTCCAAATCCAGTAAAAAAAGTAGAAGGAGCTCGGTTTTAGAGAAGGCTGACATATCTTCACTTTGTGCCATCAGAGGACCTGTGTTTAAACTCTAAGTCTGAGCCCTTCAATGGCAAACTTAGCCTGTGCATCATCAGGTGTGGTAGATTTGATCTGGGATTGTAAATACTGAATCACCTTCTTGAAAAGGTGTCTGCCTTTTCCAGGGAGGCTGATATGTCCAAGAAGTCCTGCTCAGCACAAAACTGTTTTTAAATGGAAGGAGAATAGTAGAATCTTTGAGGCTGGAAAAGACCTTTAAGATCATTAAGTCTCTCTGTTAACCCAGCACTGCCAAGTTCACCACTAAACAATGTCCCTGAGTGCCACATCTACAGGTCCTTTAAATACCTCGAGGGATGGTGAATCCACTACTGCCCTGGACAGTCTATTCCAGTGCTTGACATATGAAGGATGTCTCAATGAAGAAACTGTGTTTAGGAAAGTGTCTTGGCTTGTACACACTGATGGGCTGTACTATGAATGAAAATAAATAGTGGGGGAAAACACCTTCAAGTTTTATTGTATCTTGGGTAAGGAGAGATTGCTGCCATTCCATTTTCCTGACTTCTTGTTTATGTACTAGCTTCATGCTTTTGCTTTTCCTTTCTAGGAGCGGAGACTGGCTGCTATCCGGGAATTAGCTCGGCTTCTAAGACCTGGTGGAACAGCACTCATTTATGTCTGGGCAATGGAACAAGAATACAAAAACCAGAAGTCTAAATACCTTAAGGATAAGAATGGTAGTAAAAACAAAAACAAGGAAATGACTACTGGAACAGCCCAGAGACCACTTAGTGGTCAAGCGCCTGACAACAGCAGCCAAGACTCAGCGTGGTCTGACCAGCACCTTAATGACTTGAAGGATGAAAGCTGTGGTGCCAAGCCAGTAACAGACTTCAGACTGCCTGTTCACACTAACAGAACCTCCTTTCACTCTCAAGATTTGCTGGTTCCCTGGCACCTGAAAGGTGGTACTAAAAAGGAGGGAAGTGTTAATACAGAGTTGGTTTCAGGTGGCTCCAAGGAATCGCAAGAACTCAGCCCTGTTTTCCACCGCTATTACCATGTGTTCTCTGAAGGGGAACTGGAAGCCGTGTGCAGATCCCTGGATTGTGTGAAGGTGCAGAAGAGTTACTATGATCAAGGAAACTGGTGTGTGATTCTAGAGAAATTGTAGCCTGTGATGCTTCTTCTACTATGTGTAGATAGTATTTTCTTTGTTTTTTATAGTGAAAGGTATTTTTGAAAGGTATTTTAATGCAGACTGTAGCTCTTTCCTCTTCAAAATAACAGAATAAAGATTGTATATTGAGTTAATAACAGTGGCTAGCACTGTGTGCATATGTTAACAGAATAAAGGCCAAACTCAGCTACTACCTCTGCAGTGTTTGCTTTACTTCTCTCAATTACAGTGAAGAGGATTAAGTGGGAAAATAGTGCCCATGCAAATCACTAAGGCCAGTGTTAAGCTTTTAAAGACAAAGGGCCTGGTTCTCCCTTCTCTTACACCATTTAATATTGATGTAGCTGCAGTGCTTTCCCTGCAGTCCACAGCTAATTGGAATGGAGCTCTGGGCAGAAAAGGCAGAGCTGCATGTTGTGCAAAATTGTGGATCAGGGAGGAGGGAGTGAATGGCATATGAAGCAGTTAAGCTGAATAGTCAGATTGTTGCCTCTGGTTTGGTCTTGCCTAGTTTGGTGTCCATGAGGGGTGACAGATCTCTTTCAGTTTGGAATTTAGTCTCTTTGTTGTGATAATAATGATTTCCTCAAAGGGAACTGGAAAGTTAGTGCGGATACCACAGATGTTTTTCTCATCCTTAACTATCAAATACCCACAATTCATGCCTTCCATCCCCAAATTCCTGTAGCTCTTCACTGTAGTGTTGTGTGAAAGCTCCTGTAAGGTGTGAGTTCCAACCCAGCTGGAACAGCCAGACCAGCTCTGCTACACACCTGCATTCCTACGAGTGTGTGTCTCTGTAGCGCCAGGACTTGTGGGGGTGGGGGACCCTGAGAATCCCCCAGGGGGAAAAAAGGGAAAAACATTAAAGTGAAGGCAATATTGATGCAGATTTTCTGCTGGGCACTTTCAATCCCTTAATGTTAGCAGGGGAGCAAGTTTTATTTAATGCACTTCAGAAGAGCAAAGGACTGGAGTAGAGGGGAACTGATGCTGGTCTGGCTTACGCAGCCAGCTGTTTGGCTGTGGCCTACAAGGACTAGTGCAATTTATTTGATACAACTCTTGTGCTACCAAAGGAGTGTGATACCTGGAATGCATTTCTGGATCTAAAATAATGGGCTGACTTTTGCAGGGTGAATGGCTATTGGTGCCTCTGGAAATGAGTGCTCCTAAGCTATGCTGTCATTACCTGTTATATGGATTGATCACCTGTAGTTGTAGCAAGATCTATGGTATTGGCAGGTTGTGCTGCTGTAAATAATGGCATGTAAACCGAGGTGCCCATAAATTGTGGGGGTCTTGAGGACAGCTTGGCCTACTCCTGCCTGCCTCCCATGTGCAGGTTAAAGGCTGCTGTGCTGGCAGCCTGCTCACAGTCACCATTTCTCCTAGGCTCCCATCTTGTAATAGAGAAAATCCAAGGGGAACGAGAGCAGTAAGAGCGGAGCTTGCTGCCACCACAATTTACCTGGCCTGTGCTCTGCTTGCTGTCTGCTTGCTGTCTTTGTCTTCCAAAGAGCCCTTGGGAAAGACATTCTCATTCCTCAACTACACATGCTGTCCGTGTAGCAGCAGCCTTGTCATAACTGATTTCTTTCCTTTGGACAACAAAGGAAGCATGTCTAGCAGTGAGCCCTCTTGGGCATGTTCAGGGGCTGATTTGCACACAATTAATATCACATAGCTGGAAACATGTCTTGCATCAAGGCTGAGCTGGCTTCAGTAGTGGGATGCAGCGTTTGGGTGCTGGAACTCACCCCTTTCCTGGCTGGACTGTGTGACCAGAGCTAGCGTGAACAGCTCCAGGGTGCAGTGCTACACAAAGTCGGGGTGTCACTGGTGAGAAAGGGCAGGGACAGCCTCTGCTGGGTGTCTGTGCAGTGACTTAACTCACTAAACTGGGCTCACTATTATTTCTGATTATGTGGATTGCATTCATGTAGAACAAAGCAGGAGGACACATCTCTGAAGCTCTGTGTCTGCATGGCCCTGTGTTTGCTGGTGCCTGAGCAGCTGCTGTTGGGTTTGTGCATTGTCTGTAGCTGCATTTTCTTTAAGAATATATGGTTTTCTGGTAAGGAACAATTACTGCTTGAATGTCCTTCTGAAGTGCTGCCATATCATGACCTTGTGTGACAAATTAGGAATCAGGTCTGCAGTTGTGCTCAATTATTCAGTGTACTCTTGTTCTGACTGAGGATAGCTCAGAGGTGCTGCCTCCAAATTCACTGCTGTCTTTGACACAGGGTTAAGCAGTGTTCTAACCTGGGGCTCAAATGCATCAAGCCTGAATAATTTAATGTGGACTTTATGAAACACAGATCTGTTTCTTGCAGGCCCTGTGGCTCCTGTAGAGCTTTCCTGCTTTCCCTCTGTTTCCCTGGCAGAGGCAGCATTAGGCAGTGTTTGGTGTCACATTTAGCATTTCTTGCCTTCCAGGCTGACTAACATCATGTTTTGACTACCATATGTATGAATAGGTCAGACTCCCTCTCACCAGGTCTTGCAGTGAAGCACCTGGGATGTCTGAGAGAAGAGTCAGATTTTATTGTCAGTCTTTTGGATGCCATCAGTCTTCCTGCAAGCTATTCCTTTCAGCTGAGTCACAGCAGCTTTTTCGATCCATTTCATGCTTGCTCAGAGCAGAAAGCATCACTCAACTGTCCTAGGCAGCCCGATGGTGCTGAGTTCCAGTGGGTTCTGGTTCTGGAAGGAGGTTCTGGCATGGGGAACACCAGCTTGGGCAACACTGCTTGGACAGGCACTCTGGGTTGAACATGCAATACAGAATTCCTTACCAAAGGAGCTTCTCCTGGCACTTCTGAGGGCTGTGAGCCAGAGGACGGTCCCAACAGCACACCATCTCTTCAAAGACAGTAGAAAAGTTTAAAGTACTCTGACATCCTCTGAGGCCTGGAAATGTTACTAAATATTTCTTTGGCTAAAGGCAGAGTCTTCAGATGCTCAAAGAGGAGTCAAGTGGTGGAGAAAATGACAAGGGGAGGAGAGTAGATGTTAACAAAATGTATTGCAGAGGTGTACAACACAGAATTACATGCCACCACAGCTGTCCTCTGCAGTACTCACTTGCCCCTTTTTACTTCCTGGAAGTGGTAATGAGATGGAACTCTTTAAGGTCAACAGTTGGGTTTAAATGTTACAGGATTCTTGGTGCACTGATTTTCATAGTAATTATGTTCCCTTTTTGGCCTTATTGAAATACAAATGTGCTTAAATGGTTATTCATTTGCAGTCTAGAGGAGAAAGGGAAAGCAAAGCTCCATGTGACTATGACCTGTGCTGTGAATGCCAGTGCCTCTCCTATGGATGTCCCAGTCATCACCCAAGCGCCTCAATGCACCCAGGACTAGGGAGGTGGGAATTTCTACTCTGGCCCAGATGTGACCCTGTTTAGCTCTGGGCACACACTGGCAAACATCTGGTGGTGTGACCAGAAGTGGGTGTGTTGGGGGTCACTGTCCCCCTTGTTCCCAGCCTCCCATTCCAGAGACCACCAAGCCACCCCCCCACGTCAGGTGTCCCGACCCTGCACTGAGCAGATCTGTACCATGTGTTGCACTGTCCTGCCCTGACAAAACAAGGGCTTCAGAGCATCCCTGGGCTTAAAAGCAAAGGACATGCTGAGGTGATTTCTTGTTTCGGGGCAGGCAAAAAATGAAACCTGCAAAACATGGAGGACTTCTGTTAACTCCATAGACTTTAATGAAAGGCTCATGGATTGGGATATTGTCAGGGAAAGATCACTCTCCAATTACCATCATGGGCCAGAGTAGAAAAAGAGTAAGTAAAACTAAATCTTAAAAACACCTTCCCCCCACCCAACCCTTCTTCCCAGTCTTAATTTTATTTCTGATCCTCTAACTCCTCCTTGCAGTGACACAGAGAGATGGAGAATGGGGATTAGGGTCACTTCATCACACGGTGTTTCTGCAGCTCCTTCTTGTTCTCATACCAAGATTAGGAATCTTTTTCCTCTCACAGAAGCATTATGAATATGAAACTTCTAATTCATGTAAGTACAAATACGGGTGTCGGATATTCTCTGTATAAAGTGAACATCAATGAGCACGTTTGGGGAACAGTGTGCCAAAAATAAATGTCATGCAGCTGTCACTGCATACAGCAAATGTTCTGAGTTTTGCAGACTATTCCCCTAACAGTACTAGGTGGATGGGGAGCTTTCCCAAACACTTAAATTATGAGAGATTTAGAGTGATAACATTTTCCATACATTCCAAAATTTTCATGTTTACCAGAATTTAAAAAAAAAATTAATTTCAGAATTCCAGTTCTGTTACACCTGTAAACATCACAGAAACACTTTGCACTTGCAAAGTAAAAATTACAAAGATTTTGCTAGGAATACCAAAGAAGATTCATAGCCACTGGCTCCAGTGTGCTCTGTTTTGTGTATTCTCCTTGCTGCCACAATTAAGGATTTTTTTTGTCGTTATCACTTGCTGTGTGTCACTATGATTTTCTATAATTTATTGTGGAGAAAAGAGGAAAAGACATTTCATTCATTATTTCAAATCTGTTTTGGGTGTGTTAATGTGCCTTATATGAAATGGTTATACTGACAACATCAGCATTTGGACCCTAATTTATAATGAAAATAACTTGCTCTGCCTTAACTAATATATGCCCTCTTGGGGCAGAATCAGAATTGCATTGCTTTGTCTAAACTGTCTGAAAGACCATGCCTGCCACCTCAAATGGCTGCAAATGAAGCATTTTCTTTCTCTCACCTGCCTCCTTCACAGACATTTGCTCTGGAGATTCTTGTTGAATTTTCTTTCTCTCACCTGCCTCCTCAACAGACATTTGCTCTGGAGATGCTTGTTGAATGCAGACAGATTGTTCCTGTACCTGATGGTGTTCTCATCCACAAATTTCTCAGCCAAGCTACCTCACTGAACTGTAAAAAAACCTGGTGTTGAAGTCTACAACTAAGGTCAACAGCAAGACCCTGGATTGTTTTCATCTGGATGACATAATTGTGTACAGTATTCTTGTCATATTTTCACTTGAGCAAGCCACCACTGGTGTGCAAATACTGTAAAATTCTCAGAAGCTACCAGTATTTTAAGCTATTTTAAAGGTATTCTTGTTTGAATTGGATCAGGGTCATGGAGAGAGGGTTCTGACATGAAACTCTTCTCTACCCTA